AACACCGAAACTCTCCTTGGGGCTTTAGAACAGCAGCATTCTGACAATACCGCCTTGATTATGTTGGCACACGGACAGTGAGGCTCCGTGTCTTGAGCGTATCTCTTTCGAGACTTACCCGCGCTCCTGGTTCTATAGTACAACTCGTCAGTTTGATAACTGGAGCAACTTATAGAGTGCCGGCATGACTTCCCAGGTATAACGCTATCATCATCAGACGAATGTGCTTCCTTCTGAGGATACGATGCTTTACTAGCGCTTTCAAAAGTCACACGTTCAAGTTTGCGCCTTTGCGAGCGCGAAAACCTAACGGGCTCCTGAACTTCGACCCGCAATCCAATGCGATCGGTAACAGGGGCTTTCCCTCTGTTATCTTTCTTGGGGAGATTGGTACGACCCCCCGTCTGGACTATTGTTTGGGGACCTTTCAACGGTCCCAATCGCTCCTTGATAGGTGCCTTACCTCGATTTTCTGGTAAAGGACCGAGGCGACCTTTCAAAGGAACTTTGGATCTTAGAGGACCCACGTTCTTACCTGGCTCTACCGGAGATGCGGGAGCAGGGGAAACGGGATCTCGATCTGAAGGAGGTTGGACGGCAACTCCGTCCACTTTTGTCTTAGGCGCCGATTTTGCCTTTGGCACCCACACCTGCTTGTGTCTAGGCGGCTTCTTGACCGTCTCTTCTTTCTGCATCTCTTCCGCTTTCTGCAGAAGGACTCGGGCATGCGCAAGCAATGCGCGGCGTTTCTTGATTCGCTCTTCGAGGGTTGAGCGAGTCTTCTTGACACGAACCCATTCGTTCGTTTCTGTCTAGGAGGAGGAGTTGGTTGTGCGCCGTTGTTGCTCTTGGCGCTGTCTGGACTTTAGATCCTCATTGTAGCGGATCCCGTCCATCGATTCTGTGGCCTTGGCCAGTTGTCGCGCCAGGCGTTGACGCCGTCTTTGGCGCCCTCTTTGACAAGGTTGGAACACCTTCAACAGTTGATTTCGCGGCGGAAGGGCGATTTGGATCTGCAGCTTCGACCACGTTAGACGCCATAGGAGCGTCGCGGGGAGTAAGTGCAACGGCGGCAAGTGCGCCTATTTGGAGAGGCGGATCTGGAGGAGGAGGAAGAGAGGTACTCTTCAAACTTCTGTTGATCGAACTCGTATTCGATCTCTTCGTTCACCCGGATCTTGAATGCCGGTTGCGTCACGACAGCCTCGGCAGCGAGGCTGTTGGCTCCTACTGTGGTCGGCAGTTTGTTTTCGGTAAAAGTTTCCTTCATTACTGAACTCATTATAATATTAGTGTTTACAAAGAATTCAGATCTTAATCAAAAGAAAAGAAAAAAATTACAACTTTCTCGAAAATAACACAAGATCCGTTCGTCGTCTCTTGCTTGCGTGAGTCTTTAGCCTGTGATGGGGATGTTGATATCCGTGGACTACCTGGCAATCATATCTGGTCCAGAGCTTCGTCGATCCGTGAGGAGATCTAGAAACTGAAGCGCTTATCTCGACGAAGTGAGATAATTGCTCTTCTTAGAATTACCACAACGGGATAATACTAAGGATTGGATGCAGGTGATGTAGATCTGACGAAGAACTCTCTTGTGTTGAAGTAGTCGATCACTCTTCAGTCCGGCAAGGCTTCGTCAATTCTTCAAAATTCCAGATCTCCAAAAAATGAGGCCTAATGCTTGTATTTATAGGCTTGAGGGGTTGCGGAGCGGTTAAAACACCTTAAAACCCAAATCTGCATTGGAGACACCCTAGGGTGTCTCCACTTGATCCGAGACACCCTAGGGTGTCTCGGTTTGGAGACACCGTAGGGTGTCTCGTTGGTCCGAGACACTCCATTGAGGTGTATTCATCCGCTTCCGCTGTAAATTCTTCGTCCGAACTCGGATTTGAGTGATTCAAAATGCGTTGGAAAGCTGACGAGGAGTTCTATCAGCTCCGATGGTTAGATCATCTGTTGAATGAATGAGACATGAAGGGCATTGTTCCTTTTATAAACATCGCGGGGCTCCTGATTAGCCCGTACCTTCGTTAGTTCACATAGTTCGTCGATTCACTTCAATCGTTCATCGACATCAATCGAACTCCTGTGAACCGGATAGTGACGTTCATCGTCGTTCCTTAACACTGAGCTGTTCGTGGAGACCCATAGGCAATTTTCGATGCCTACAAACCGGGATCCGGATCCGAGGTTGCGACTCAACAGCCTCTGCACAGAGGTTGTTGGCTCCTACTGTGGTCGCCAGTTTGTTTTCGTTGAAAGTATTTTTTATTATCGAATTCATTACAACTTTGATCGTTTACAATAAATTCAAATAATAAAAAATAAAGATTATAACTTTCTAGAAAATAAACACAAGAACTATTTATCAACTCTTGCTTGCGTGGGGTCTTTGCCTGTGCCGGGGATGTTGATATCCGTGAACTGCCGCGGATCAGATCTGGTTATCAGAACATTGATAGAGCTTCTATTTCACCAAGGAAGTATTGGCTTGAAGCACTAAAATTGACCAAGCGAAATCAGTAGTTCTTCTCGAGATTAAGACCAAGCCTAATCTCAAGGAACAGACAGGGGGAAATACGGGTTCAGATCCTTCGAAAGCCTTCCTATTTATGCTGAAGTTCGTCGGTATCTGACTTGCTTTTGCTGTAAATTTGTGCTCCGTTGACTCTTCACTCCAGCAGAACCTCGCCCTCTTGATAAAATTTTCCACCCCGTAACATAAGCCCTTAGGCCTGTATTTATAGGCTTCAGTTAGGAGATTTTTGGATAAGAACGATGGATTTGACCTTATCCTTAGTTGACAATCGTGTAACCACGTTTGGAGATGATATCTAGGCAGTTAGGAACCTCTGAAACAGAAGAAATCTCCTGAAAATAGCAAAAAATGCATTTTGGACATTATGCACAGCTCTGGGTGCGGGACAGAACATGGCATGCACGTGTGGTCACCAAGAAGTGACCCGCGTGGCCGTGGGTCACCGCGCGCGGGAGTCACCTCGTGGTGACCCACGCGGTTGCAGGTCACCAATGGGTGACTCGCGCGCCACTCGAGTTCCGAACTTCTTTTGACGATTTCGATGTTTCTTGACTTTCCAGACTTGTACTTTCTATCGTTTCGTTTACTTGCCTGTCGTGTTGACTTGTACACTCTGCTGAAGGACTGACCGATGAATGCGTCTGGTCACTTATGGCTGACTGACAAGCGCGTTCGGTCACTTGGAGCTGACTGACGTGCGCGAGCTGACTGACATGTGTGTCCGGTCACTTGGAGTCAACGAGCGCGTCGGGCACTCGAATAATCTTTCTTGATTCGGATGATGATGTTCATCATCTTCTCTTAGTCTCGAGCTACGTGCGGGAACCTATGCGCAATTTTTTACGCCTACAGTCCATCTTATGTAATGTTATATATTTAGTTTATATTTTATGTTTGATTTTAATATAGTTTTATATTTTATGTGTCAGTTTTTATATGTTATGTATTTGAGTTATGTTATTCGTATTGGAATTATGTATTAGGATTGCTCTTTATATTTTTAATTTGTATTTTATGGGAATTTAATTATAATGTCTAGATTTTAATATTATAATTAATAATAATATATTTTAAATTTTAATATTATTTTTATTTTTTAAAAATAATTTATTTTGTCCAAATTATGCAATTAGGGTAAAGTTATAAAATTTAAATATTATAGGGGTTGTTTTATAATTTTAAATAAAACAGTTGGGGTCAAATTTTAAATACATAAAATTAAATGATAAATAATAAAAAGTTAAAAAATAAAAAAAGTAATGGAGTGAGAAACAGTGTGACGCCATATTTGGTGTCGTACTGTTCATATCCGCTAAAATGCCGCAGAGAATGGCGCTGGATTGGAGAACCAACGCAGCGGCATTTGGCATTTTGCCGCCACGTAGGAGATGGCCTTATAGCTTATGCATCATCCTACGTCAGTTCTTATTCAATCGCTGGAAATTAATAGTTTAGATGTATTTTTCTTAAAAAAGTGATAGATCAACAACCTCAGAACCAGATGGAATTGACAATGTAGAAATTCATAAATGCGGATGAAGAAGTTTAGCTGAAATTTTTATATGGGTCATAACCTCTAATATTATTTGTACATAACCATGAAATGTTATTTGTATCCGACTCAAGTCTAACCTATGAATGAGAAGACAATGCATTGAACTAGGAAAGGCATTGGCAAAAAGGAAGACGTATTTTGAGCGTGAATCACACTCAGGTTTAAGAAAGTTCATGTTTTTCAAGATGACCCGTGAAAAAGTGAGCCTGAAAACTCTGTATTTAAGCTGTTTTACTTCGCATATTTTGATCTCGAAATTCCCATATAATTGTTTTTTAATTAAGTGCATTCTCCCAGTTAGGTTGCGTAATGTCTAAGTTTATGTAGTTAGTTAGTCCTTTAGATACTGTCTTATTATGACGCTGGGTTTTCCTCTATTTTTTGCTAAAAGAACAGCGATGAAATGATTATTTCCTCGTTAAATGTGCATTTCACGATGAAAAAGTTCATCATCAAAATCACATATTTCCTTGCCAATAAAATAACTAGTTGGGAGACCAAATTATGTTCATCTTTAGCAAGGAAATAAAATTTTCATCGTAGAAGGTGGTCTACTGTGAGGAAAATATATTCCTCGTAGAAGACCTACTGATATTTACAGAGGAAACAATATTTTCCTCGTCGAAAGTGATATTTGTTGAGGAAAATAATTTTCTCGCAAAAAAGTTGGTTGCTAAAAGACCTATCTGTTGTAGTGTAGGTTGCGTAATGTCTAAGTTTATGTAGTTAGTTAGTCCTTTAGATACTGTCTTATTATGCCCTGATTTGGTCCGTTCTACTAGTGTACATTTAAGGAGGGATGTCTTACTTAATCTTTTTCCTAGTCCTTTTTCCCTTCCAATTGCCAAGTGAAGGTAGAAGATTGACATATATGCACCGTAATTAATTGCCAAAAGCATCTAACAGAGATTGAGATACATGCACATAAAAATCATACTTTATCGGAATTTTCATTGATTTTTCTCCTCTAACAATTATTTATTTCCATCCCTACCCTCTAATTTCTCAAGTCATTACTGCACTGGTCTGTTGCTTGGAACCATCTTGAACCATTGACCTTCAGGATCGCAGTTCTTGTCTCTACTAATGCAGTTGCATGGATTAGTAATGAGAGTGTTGCCATCAGAGCCAATATCCAGGCACAGATTAGTCTGCGAAGAGATGTGCAATTTCGAGTTTGATATCAGATTCCATTTGAAGCTATCGTTATCAGCGAAGCTGGTGAGCGTCACCGGTTGGCCTGCACCTGATTCTTTTATGAACAAGTCTGAATTCACGAGCTGGATGTTTTGACCATTGTATTTCCAGCCTCTCGGTGAGTCACAAGGGCCTAAATGCAGCAACGAATTAGTTGAACTGTCCTGGACGATGCACAACCCAGTTTTCGGATGGTAGAGCACTTTGTTGAGTGGATTGTTGAGTCCTGGACCTGAGTCATAAATTAAAAGGTATCGTTATTTACGCAGCTAGGTACAAAAATTATAATGTGATGAGATATTAGAGCATGATGTTAACGTACTAGTACCTTGGAAGGGAGATTTTATAGAAGCAAGCCTATGTAGGAAGGTAGCATTCCTGGGTCCAGACCAATCTAAATTCATAGCACCGTAAACCTCCTCCTCATCGAGAATGCCTTCTCTAAGATAATAACTCCCTTGCAATGCCCAAAGAGCCCAATCAAGGTCCATTGCAGCTAAAGCTGCGAGAGCACAGCTCGAATATCTGTTGTCATTCCTCTTCCCTCCCCTTTGATCGATTCCCCACTCGCTCATAAACAACGGAGTTCCCTTGCTTAATATGAACCCTGCTTTCCTCATTATATTGGATGTTATAGAACCGCAAGCATCATTGGCATTCTGATTGCTCCAAGTATCGGTATTTGAGAACGCGTACCAGTGCACCTCGTGGACAAGCTTGCTGGAAAACGAGAGCTTGACTTCGTGGTTTGACAGAAAGCTGAGGTCATTATCAAAGCTGAGTCCTGAGAGTATAACGAGAACGTTGGGGTTTGCTTGGTGGACTACCTCGGCGCCCCTTGGCATGTACTCGTACCAAACCGGAACGTTTTGTTTTGGACCTCTGAGCTCATTTCTTAGGCTCATGCCGACGACATTGGTGACTCCGTTAAAAAGTCTCGCCATTCGAGAGAGTCCAGCGAGCCATTCGTGAGGGTTGAAGAACCGGTCCCAGAAGAAGCCATTGCCGTCATTGTTGTCGCAGCACCAGCCGGGCTGAGTTATGTGATTGTCTAGTATTACCATTATATTGTTGCTCCCAAGATTGGCCACCACAGCCTGCAAATATTGATCCAACATAGGAAAAGAAGAAATGATTAATCACAAAACTCAAATTCGCCACAATCAACTATCTTTTGTATTTGGCTGGATGCTGGACACGTCTTCAAACAACCATATCTTGAGTCTCAGGTCATATCATAAATTACAATTAATTAGTATACTATTCTTCATGATATAAGCCAACTAATTAATCCTTCGGTTTGCTATATATAACCAACAAAAGGTTGTTGGTCATCAACAATTAATACAAGAAAATATCAAAAATTACGACAGTAAACAAACTACCCTTATATATGACCTCATGTCTACAGACTACATTAAATTAACATTGTTGACTACCAATTCATGCGTCCAATAGCGGCGGAAAAAATGTCCAAGTTGGTGTTAACTGAACCATGAACGCGCTAATTAGTTACAAAAATGTTGTATTCTTTCATGGTTAATTAATTAAGATGGTACCTGCATTTTTAAATGTCAGTTAAAATGCATGCTTTTACTTGCGTTATATGAAGGAAGGAGTGCGTAAGGTTACCTAGACAATGACTCTTTTGCGAACCTTTCTTACATATATAACATGCAATAATTGAATGTTGTCACTTGGGATATAAATCACACCCAAAATTAATTGTGAATTCAGAGTAGCACCTGTACTGAAACTAAAGCAACCAGAATACAATTTCTACTTCCACGGAAACAAGAAAATAAATACCATAATGCATATCCTTGAATGAAATTTTAAACAGCTATCATTAACTATAGTGAACGCCAAGAGCAACAAGAAAAGTATGCCTACTCAAAAAAGTCAGCTAAATAGTGTGCCTACACAAGGTCTATATCCACTGAAACAAAATAATAAATCCCATGCAACCTATCCTGCAAGTATAGGAAACCATAAATGAGCTATAATGATGAAAAACCTACCCGAACAAACAACAACCGTGAACGTGATTTCTATTTTAGCTAGCTAACCTGGTACGCTTCGATGAGCATCTTATCCAAGATCCAACCGTTGTTTCTAGTCAATCCATCGAGGGATACATTGAGCCCGAGCCCTTGGAAGGACTGACGAACGGTGAGCTTGGCGTAAGAGGAGTTAGTAACAAGGTAGAGCGGCCAAGTGAGCCTAACACAGTTGAACCCCATTGAGCCTATTAACTTTGATATGGCATCCAATGGGCTCTTGCTGAGCCCCTCGGCGAGGACAGGTGCCAAATGAGACGGCCAGTTGGCGCACGCGAGCTTGACACGTTGACCCGACTCGTTGACGATCCATCGGCCTGAGGTCGAGAGATAAGCTGATGTTGGCTGTGGATTTAGAGTTTGGAAAAGGATGATGAAGAGGAGGGCGGGAGAAGTGTGAAAGAGAGAGAGCTTCATGGTTTAAGAACAGAGTAGGAGAAATGTGACTTAGTGACTGTTTGTCACTGATGAGGACGACTTCGGGGGTTAAAATAGATAAATAATGACATTTTTAATTTTAAATTTTTATTTTTTACGAATGGATAATTAGAAACCGAAATATCCGAAATATTTATGGATATGGATTTATCTACTCAAAGGGGTTGTTTGTTTCAAATCCCAAAATTTATGGATATGGATTTCACCATAGAATTTGAAATCCATAAATTTTTTTGTGGGTTTTGGGATCTCTAAAATTTTGTTTGTTTCATCAATATTTTAGGATTTGGAATACCAAAATTTGTAATATTATGTTTGTTTCATCAATATTTCGGGATTTGGAATACTATAATTTGTAATATTTTGTTTGTTTCATCAATATTTTGGGATTTGGAATACTATAAATTATATATTATAATATTATATAATATTTTAATAACATATATTATATATATATATATATATATATATATATATATATATATATATATATATATATATATATATATATATATATATATATATATATATATATAATATTATATTATATATATATATTATTTATTATATAATATAATATATTATATATATATAATGCTACAGTAATTTACTGCAGCATTTACTAAAGCATGAACAGTGATTCTTGGGTCCTCCTATAATTATAGAGGAATAGATGTATTATATTAAATATTATATTATTATAATATTATATATAATATATTAATCTTATATTAATCTTATATTATTAGCATTAATACATCAATATCCAACCTACATCCTCTCTCAATTGTAGAATTTCACAAATTCTAAAATATAATAGTTTTTTATTATTTGGGGATTCAATATCCCAAAATTGGTTGTGAAACAAACATGGTTTATGGAATTCTAAAACCCAAAAAACTTGTAATCCACCTTATATCCCAAAAAAAGGACAAAACAAAAGAGAGGATTTCACAAATCCTAAAAATATATTATTTGTTTATAATTTAGGGATTCAATATCCCAAAATTAATTTTAAAACAAACAAAGTTTATGGAATCCCAAAACTCAAAAAGAGCACTTTTTACATCCCAAAACTTGAAATCCACCCTATATCCAAAAAAAAACAAAACATACACCCCCAAAAAGTATTAACCGACACGTACCCGCGCGAGTCTGATGGTTAAATTTTATTATTGACTTAATTGTATCCGGTTATAATCTGCTCCGACTCCTTTGGAGTTTTTTAATAATATATTTTCTTTAAAATTGTCTCAATGTATAGATTTTTACCACACCTTGGCAACCATATGTATGAAAGTAATAAGCTAAATATCAGGAAACCACCTAAACATTGGCTAAATTTCCATAACTTCGAAAATATTAGAAGATCTCCGTAAGTTTAGGGGTTATCACAAAACCCCCTTAAGTTTAGGTGTACTAGAAAACTGTAGAACCCCGTAAAAAAATTTTATAAGGATATATAGATATTGAATTATTAGTGATGAATAATTCTTTTGTAAAAATTTATCATATATACATATATATATATATTGAATGTGATGAATCATGTTTGGGAGCCTAACAAGAAATTCTATGTTGGAGAAAACAAGTGGATTCACCAGGATGTCAAATAGTCATAGTAGGCAGTTGTCCTGCTGTGCGGTCGACCGCGACATGCGCGGCGGTCGACCGCACAGCAGTCGGGCACTCAGGGGACTTTTCTCCTGTTGTGCGGTCGACCGCGCTGGGCGCGGCGGTCGACCGCACAGCGGGCAGAGAGTTTTTCTGTGTTAGGTCTTAACGGGTTTCGGGTCGGGTTCGGGTCGGGTTGCGGGGATAGTATATATACTATTATACCCAAGAGAGCCCTATTTTCCATCTGATATCAGAACCCTAGCCCCCTCTCTCCCCTCAAACCCTAGTTTCTCACTCCTTGGTGATTTGGAGGAGCTTTGGAGGGCTTTTCAGCGAATTGTTGGTGGATTCAGCGAGAGGGATCATCTTCCTCCAGATCTAGGGCTTCGTTTTCGTCGTAGGCGAGTAACATCTCGCCCAACTTCATCCCATTTCGTTTTTATGCTTAGATTTGAGTTTTTATCCGGTTTTTATTGAGCCCAAATCGTATTTTTTTGTAGATAAAGTAGACCTTATGGCATGAGGTGCAAGAATCATATATTTCAGTCTTAAATGGTTCACTAATGATGTTTAATAAATGAGATTTTGATCTGAAATGTTTTTAGGAGAGTTAAACTCATTTTTTTACTGTTTAAGAACTTTTAAAACATGTTGTTTAAGGTTTGGGATTTTTGATAATGAGGTTTTAACCATTTAAACTTGTTGTTTATTGCCATGGTCCACTATTTAAATGTTAAAGTAGAGTGAGTATAGAAATCCCCAAATTTTTTTGATGAGTTCGGTAGCTGACAGAACCCAGAACAGGGTTCTGTCCGCCTAGCGGTCGACCGCATCGGGATAAGCGGTCGACCGTCGCAAGATTTTTCTAGCAGAAAAGCTTCTGCTCTTTGAGCGGTCGACCGACATGTCCTCTGCGGTCGACCGCCGTTCAGTTTTGAACATAATAACTTTTGACGCTGTGAGCGGTCGACCGGAGTGGCCTCTGCGGTCGACCGCCGCACAATTCTGTGCATGTTGATCCCTTATTGATCTTTTCGCGTGTTCAAGAGATCACCTCTTCTATCTCACACTGGTTTGCGATGTTAGTGACTTATCTACACATGGGAATTGACTGGGATACGAATTTAGACCCGCACATTGAAACACGTGCACAGTTGGGACATGTATATGTATTTCCACATATGTTAGTGAAAATTACACTTCTTCGTTCATAGTCCACGTGTTGAGCATGCATTATTATTGATCCATGTGTTGGATACTTGTCATCTTGGTCCATGTGTTGGACATGCATTTTATTTCAGTCCATGTGTTGGACCTGCATCCCTTTTAGTCCATACGTTGGACATTTTTGTTAAACCTTGAGCATGGTACACATTTGAGTTTGGGACACGACATTTTGATACCGATGAGACATGATAGCTACCTAGGCTGAGTATGACACTTATGTAGAACACGGCATGGTATTTATGTAGGTCAGTACAAAGTACTGTATTTATGTTCTGAGATGGGTTGTATTTCCTTGTTACTTATTTCGGTTCACGTATTGGACTCCGGGTTTGGTACTTAGGGGCTTTCAATTTGGGATATAAGGTATATACATGAGGGTTTTCTTGTTTGGATTATTTCGCTCGACGTACCTATGCCCGTGTTGAAACTTCCTAAGTACTAAAACCTATTGTTTATTTTTAGGATAATTGATTTTATATATATGTATTTTGTGATAACTGTATTTCCTTATACAACGAGCCCTCTCCCTTGGGGTTGGTTGTGATATTGCTCGCTAGCGCTTTGACGCTCGTTGTCTCTCCCCCTTTCAGGTCACAACCCAGGAGCCCGGAGAGTCGCAGGTTGATGGCGACACACTTTAGTGTTCGACTGTCTATTCTAGCTATGCTTTATTTTGGAGCTCCACTATAGATTTTGTTTAGACATTAGAGGACTTTATTCTAGATGTTGTAAAGGCTGTGTGCCTTATTTCCTTTATTCAGACTTGTTGTATTTGAGATGTATTAAGAACTCCAGTTTGTTCATTTTAGACATTGACTTTATATTCCTGTGTGTTGGATGATGAAATACTATTTGATCTTTATCGTTTCATCAGTTACTCTCACCTGTTTTGTACCTACACCAGTTGTTGATTCTACTAGATAGATGTTAATTGTGATGGTGAAATATGTTATTGCACGGTGTGGTGCATAGCAGGTTTGACATTCTTGGTTTCACCTTGGACTGCAGCCTTGTGTGAACCCAGGGGCGTCACAGTTGGTATCAGAGCTCTAGTTCCAGTATCCTTAGGATCATCATGTGTCGAGTCGTGGAGCTAGGATAGAGTTTCCTAGGATTCATGTATAGAGTCCGTAGGGATTTCCTAGTATGAGTGAGGACGACTTATGCGTATACCTCAAAATTTGAAAAAAAAAAAATTTTTTATGATAACTATTTTGCAAATTTAAAGTATTTTGTGTAAATACAATATGTTGTGAAGATTGTATTGTGATACGCTATTTATAGAAGTTTATTTTGACTCATAAACTTTTATTTTCTTATGATCAGAGAGATGGCAGGACGTGGTAGACCTCGTACCAGGAGAGCTACCCAGGCAGAGTCACAGCAGACTCCATCAGAGCAGCAGCCAGCTCAGTCCGAGCCTCAGCAGGCTCCACCCGAGCCGCAGCAGGCTCCTCAGTATTTGGTGGACATCATGACTCCTCTCATTGCCCGGATGACAGCCATTGAGGAGTTGGTGACTACTCATATAGCACCACGGACACCACCACCACCGGTAGCTCAGTAGCAGGGGATACCTGCCGTTCCTATCAGAGAGAGATCCCCAGAAGTCGCGCCTGCAGCCATTCCCCTAGCAGTTCCAGACAGGACCACCGAGCAGGTGACTTGGCTCCGTATGGTTGAGAGGTACCAGAAGATGAGGGCACCCGAGTTCCAGGGATCACCAGACCCTCTTGCAGCCCATAAGTGGAAGGAGGATGTGGGCAACATTCTTGACATACTCAGTGTGGGCTCAGTTCAGAAACAGAGATTGGCATCTTACAGTCTGAAGGGTGATGCCGGGAGATGGTACCGACTGCAGTTTACTCCAGAGCAGAGGATGACTCTTACGTGGGAAGACTTCATATATTTCTTCGATGGACAGTACATTTCTTCTGCAGCACGGACCGGGAAGGAGCTCGAGTTGTCCCAGTTGACTCAGGGGGTTATGACCGTGGCAGATTTTGAGAGCAAGTTCATGGAATTGCTGCATTTCACGAGTATGTGGCAGACAGGAGAGCGTCAGGCTCAGATGTTCTTAGCAGGGCTTCGCCCTAATCTCCATCGGTACCTCGTCTCGAGGAAGTTCTATTCAGTTAGGGAGGTAGCTGAGGCTGCCACTTCCC